TAATCTGTGGAAGAAAGAATCTTTCTACTCCCCAGGCCCTCAGTAAACATAGCTAAGAAAATAGCATGTCCCCAAACCACAGCTTGCTGGCCCTTCACAGAAGAACTTTTGCTGGACTGTGCTCTGGGATTATGTCTCTGGAACTGCAGTCCATAATGTTCTAGGAAACATTTATTATTGCCTTCTACCACAAAACTTCCATTGTCTTCAGGGCAGGGACCCTGTGGAACACTTAGATCTCTATGGCAACAGTGATTCCTTTGAAGACCTGCCAGGAGAAAGTTATCCCAGGTTTTAGGACCAGGAAAAACTGTGCAACTGATCTGTTTTTATCTCATGGTCACTGTGGATCAAATAACTATTTGCGTTTTCCTCTCTGTTTTGGCTACTGGGAAGCTCTGACAAATTTTTAATCTTCTCTCCAGAAACTACACTAGACTTATAGTAAACTCAACTGCACCTTATGATAGAGTCTTATTCTCTAAATTACCTCTGATTTTATCTTGCTTTCTAATTTGTGCATTCTCTTTACCCTGGTTTCATTCGCTATTAATTTTATGTTTATTACCTGTTTTTGTAAACTCCTCAAATGCTTTATGGGATAGGAACCATTTAAGGCAAACAACTTTTAAAAGCATCAGATGACAGCAGCTACTTTACTGACCATTGCTACGAACGAGGTACTGTTCTAAGTATGGAACTTTCTTTCTCTTTTTAAGATTTTATTTATTCATGAGAGACAGAGAGAGAGAGGCAGAGACACAGGCAGAAGGAGAAGCAGGCTCGATGTGGGACTTGGTCCTAAGATCCCGGGATCATGATCTGAGCCGAAGGCAGATGCTCAACCACTGAGCCACCCAGGCGTCCCTGCATGGAACCTATCTTAAGTTATCTACCCTAAACCTGAGATAAGTACTATTATTACGCCTGTTTTACAGATGAGAAAACTGAGGGACAGGGAAGTCATTTGCCCAAGACCATACAATAAATAAATGATGACTCAAACCCAGCTACTCTGAATTACAAAATTTCGACAAAAAAAAAGAACTAATAATATTGAATTTCTAAAAGAAGCTGAGGCCTTCTGAATTTATAGGATGAGCTTAGCATCCTTCAGCTTTAAAGGGGATATCTCTTATACATCTTGTCTATAAAGTCATGCCTGATGACCCCCACCCACAGAGGGGAATGAGACAGTAGAAGCTAAAAGGGCAGATAATCCAAAAATAATTGACTTTTGATTTTAGAACATAGAGGTTTTCATTCATTCGCTCACTCGTCCATGCAGTACTCATCATGTGCCATGCATGGTCAGGTTCTGGGAACAGAGATGAAGCAGACAAGCACCTGCCTGTTCAGGAGCTCAGGAGCAAAAAGGGGGAGTCAGGGAGGTAAAGGGTGCCTCGGGGTCATAAACAAGCTGATAGCAGACCAGAGCAGGGTACGACAGGATCATTCTAGGACCAGATTAGCCCTTGGGGTCTATGTCACAGTTGATAATGGGAGTACGAAGAATCAGCTCCTTTAGAGGGCTATTGCGACGATTTGGGCTAAGATCAAGCTCTTAGCCTAGCCTGGCATGTACTATGTGTTCAGGACGTGTCAGCCTTCAGCCCCTAAGGCACAGTGGACAGCAGCCTGGGCATCCTGCTTTGTCACACGCACACATCCTCATAAGGACAAGTGTTCTCAGAAGCTCAAGCACCGAGGCTGGCTACTACCTCCCCTGAGCTACCCCTAAGAGCTGACTTACAGTCCATTAGCACTCTTTCCTGGATGTCACCATCTCAGATTCAGTGTCTTGTTGGAATAGATCACCCACACGCGACAAATATTCCTTCCAGTTGCGCTCAAAAATCTTCCACGGTACCTGGTCCACATCACGCCCCACCCGGCATTTTTCCTGCATTTGCTCTGCTTCACGTTATCTGGTTGGCGCTTCAACAATGGCAGGTAACTACACGAGTCCCCTGCTGCATAACGGGTCAGGTTCCCACTTGAATGGGTCTAAGGAAAAGCCCCAACTAGAATTGCAAAACGGGAGTCTCAAGTGCGTTATTGGCTGAAGCCCTTAAGAACATATGTGCTGCACCTGCTCAGCATCAGCTGGGAACAGTACGTCTCTCTTCGGTTTAGCACAGTGGCTAAATAAGAAGTAACTAATCATTTTCTCACCAAACCTAACTCATATTTAACAGTTCCCTCTCAAAGTTTGTTTTGTCATGCTATCAGCAAAGTCAGTCAAACATTACGATTCCTTTCTAAATATTCCAGCAGCCAGATGGCAGGAACACTACTGTGACAAGGCAAAACTCGCCTAAAGATAACTTCATGATGCATAATCATGCTTGATGGCACTCGGCTAAGTAGAGTCACCCAGAGGTACCTCTTTAGCTGCTGCCCCACTTAACCCATATCAGATCCTTATAATGGCAAGAAGAAGGCAAACATTCAACCTGCAGTGTGAAACTGGCTGGTAAAACAAACACGCTTCTACTTCTCTGAGGTCTGAATTTTAGGCAGAAATATGAAATCACTAGAAGACCACACATTAGGATACGATGTCTCTCTACATATAATGTCACTGTACCTTAAAGTTTCAAATAGTTCTGTACCAAATTTAATGTACATTTAGACCACGTGGGCTAGAAAACATCTCCGCTGCCCAGTTATTTCCGTAGAGTGTGTGGTTTTTAGTTGCTTTTGTTGTTACTCCAGCGTTAAAGTATCTTTATAAACTCTAGGATGTAGGAAAGTCGACTCTTCCTGCCTGGTGAAAATTCTATGCCTTCTCCCTTAGGGTTAATTATATTTTGGCTTCTCATACCTTTTCTAGGTTATATTACTCATTGTGTGTGTGCGTGCTCTGTGTGTGTGTGAGTAACCGCAAAATCACAACCTGTTCTATATGGTTTCTGAACAATAAATCTCCTAAAAAGAGCGTTGGCAGGCTGGGCCAGCTGGCTTTCTCCTGTTTCTAAAACTGTATGTTCTTAGACACACGCACTTCCTCCATCCCTTCTGCTGCTAACTTCAGTCTGTGACACAATCTCACATGCACAATTATATGAAAACAACAGAGACTCCTGGAAAGGAACAAAAAGAGGGCAAGGCAGGAAGCCAACCTTCAAGTCTCTTGTCCGGGCTTCAGGTGGCCGAGAACTGCTTCTGGTGGTATGTACAGAATTTGAAGTCTGTGTCCCCAGGTTCTTAACTGGGGCTCCCCCGGGTAAGGCACTTAAGGCATTTTTAAAGTGTGTGACTTTTTATTTGCTCATCTGTAAAACACCTCCCTTAAAGAACCGTGACTCCCACGTGAGGATGTTCACACAGGCATTTGGCAAAGCCCTCTGCAGCGTATATTTCATTTCCCATTATTTCTCAACTTTCTTTTGTTCCCCCGTCCTTCTTTTCTTTCCTGATTCGTTTTTTTTTTTTTGTGGTTATTTTATTTTATTTTTGTTTTTGTTTTTGTGGTTTTTAAATGTAGCTCGAAAATGCACTGCCTGGAAAACACTAATCTGTGTGCTACCACAGTGAGTGGATTTTTAACATTAAATTTTTATGTACTTTTTAATCGAGGTAACACAGAAGCCAAGCGCACACATTTCAAGGGAGGGACTTCATAAATACCTGTATGTGCACACCCGTGGAGTCACAAGTAAAGCAAGGGAGGGAGCATCTCCCACATTCCAGAAACCCCCCTTGTGCCCAGGTTGTTGTAAAAGGTCCAAAGGCAACCCCACTTCTAACTTACATTGCCATGATTAGCCTTGCCTAAAGTTACCAACCCAAACAAACAAACAAAAAAAATCAACTCAGGGGAGGTTGAGGTTGCAGCGATTACTACTACCATGGTTGCCCATGAGAAATGTACCTCCAATCCTCCTTCTGATGAGATAGAAGATTTTGGAAATAAGGAGAGGGGCATGAACTTTGCGAATCACACAGGCCACGCAGAACAAGGCCCTCATCTTGTCATAGCCAATGACTCAAGGCTCTCAGGGAGGCCGAGTGACAGCGCTACTTCCTGCTACAGAGTAACTTTGCTTCCAAATGCTGCTGTCACAGAACACGTCTCTAACGTGAGGGACGCGGCCGGGGCATCCCCGCGAGCCTGGAGCCGGGAGCAGGGAGCAGCTCTCCGGGAGGCTCCGCGTAGCACTTGGTAGGGAGCAGTGTGAGCAGCGGCGTACACTCCGTCCCCACGAGGCTGCAGCTCCCGCTGCGGGCACACCCACGCGGCTGGCACGGAAGGCACGGACTGTGCCTGCGAGCCTGCGCCTCCCTGCCCACGGGGGCTTGTTCCTCACAACCCCTTCCCCAGCGCCCGCTCCCCCGACCCTGCTGCCCGCATCCCTCCGTGTCTGGGGGGCGGTAGGCAGGGGCGGGCATTCTCTGCCACCTTCTCTGACTCCTTCTTAGGACTCTGAAACCCGTATGCGTGTCCAGATCTAAATCGCTGGAGCACAGACTACTGACCCCAGGGGTCTGGACACGAGCCCTGGGAGCTGAGTCCCAAGATCCGCGGGCAGGTCCCAGCTAGGTCAGCACGCACGAGCCGTGTGACCTTGGGCAAGTCACTTCACACCTCCCGGACTGGCTTGCTCCCTCTGCAACCCCAAAGCCACCTCCAGCCCTGCAACGTCCTAGCTCTTCTTCACTCCGCCCCGGCTCTTCCTGCGTGCGACCGTCCCCTACTCAGCGAGACCCCAGCCTTTTGTTCTGGGGGGCGGGGGGAGCTGGGCGGCGAGGGCCAGGCCAGGCGGGCTGGGCGCCGGGGCCGCTGGGTGGAGAGTCGGGTCAGGGGAAGACGTCCCCGGGCAAGCCCGCGGGGACCCGGGACCCTCCGCCGTCGCCGTAGGGCCCGGCTGGGCTCGGAAGGCGCGGCGGGCGGCGGGCGGCGCTGGGGTGGGCGGAGATGCCCGGGCACCCGCGCGCGCTGCACCCCTGTCCGCGCCGCGGGCCACTGCGCCCCTCCCCGCCCCGCGCGGAGCTACCTGCCGCCGGCCGTGCGGGGGCCGGACAGGACTCAGGCCCCAGGCGACGTCCCCGCCGCCGCCGCCGCCTCCGGGCTCCGGGCTCCGGGCTCCGTCCCCAGCCCGGCGCTGCAGGTGCCGCCGCTGCTGCGCTCGCTGCTGCGCTCGGTGCGCCCCGCTCCGCGGCCGCCGCGGGCTCTGGTGCTGCCGGGACGCGGGGGCGGGGCCGTCGCTCCACCTGCTCCGCGGGCTCCTGCGCGGGGACGCGGCCCGGCGGGCGGGGCGGCTCGGGAGCCCGGGGGGCGGGTCCCGGCGGCGGCGGCGGCGCGCCCCTCCCGCCTCTCCCGGTGCGCGTCCCGCGTCCCGGCCGCGGGGAGACCGGCCTAAGGCATCGCCACGCTGGGGGCGCGCCGCTGCTGCACCCACCCAGTCCGGGCCTTTGGAACCCTCCTTCTGCTCCAGGCGGCGTCAGGAGCCCTGGCGACAAAAGGGGAGACCCGGGTCACCTTCTGCCCTCCCGGAGTTCACGATCTGGAAGGGACACTACAGGGCAAGTACAGTCCGGGACCAGGAGGGTGCGGCAGCGGGGATGGCACCCGATCCACACTTGGGGGAGGTCAGGGCAAGGCCGCCCCAGGAGGTGATGGCTCAGAGCCGGGACTTAGCCAGGTGCAGGGGCCTGGCCAAGGGCCTGGGCAGGTAGACCGCCCCAGTTGGAGCCTAGGAGACGGGGAGCGGACTGTGTTTTGAAAACTGAAATGTTGGAGCCGGAAGAACTCCCCGTCGCATTTCAGGTTCAGGCACCGTGGTGCACGCACAAAGTTTGTATCTGAGGCTGGAGTGTTCCTCTAGGTGAGGGTTTCCTATCGTCCGTGGCCTGGACCTCTCTACAGACAGGAGGAGCTAAGAGGATACTCACGGACCCTTCACTCAGCCCTTCAGTGTCTGAACATGGACCACAAGCCATGCCCTCTGCAGAGCACTAAAGGCGTGGGGGTGAGGGGGGCAGGGTCTCTAACACGAAAGGAATTTCTGGGCTGGAGGGAGGAGAGACCTGTGCTCCACGCTGTTGACAAGGCTTCTATGAAGTGCACGGGAACACAGGAAAAGAAGCAGGTAATGACAACAGGAAGGATCTCACACATGGGCTGCAACCTCTCTTCGGGTTCAGGTTCTGGAGGAGCTGCCGTCAAAGTATGTTCCCACGCAGCCCTTAGTAGTTTCTTAATTACTCATGTTCATAGGAAGGATAAATAATTCACTCCGGATGTCGTTCGTGGGTTGTCAAGAACATGGGTTTCTGTTACATTGAGATGAATAAAGGTGTATGTGTAGTCAGTGGAAGCCAATGAGGTACTTGCTTCCTGCCTATTTGTCCATGTTTGGCCTGCCTTTCCTCCTTTAGAACCAATAAGATGATCATTGGCATGCAGTCTGAAAAACTGCTCAACCTAAAATTCATAAATGATTTTGCACAGGTGAACACTACTTAAAAAATATCTGAAACATAACCAGACAAGACACTGTCCTCCGAATCCCTAATGCTTGTTCTCCTTAAACACGTAACCACTCAAATTCTAATGCAAAAGGAAGAAAAGATGGATTGGCGGAGAAGACATTTCCATGAGCCCAGAGCGCACCCATCGAGTCTTCTGCTGAGTGGCCCAAGCAGGAGCTATTTGAATGGATAGGCCGCTGGCTCTTTCATTCTATTTCCCATGTTCCTTATTCCCGAACACAAATGGGATGCCTACGGGTGCTGCAACCAGATGACAACCAAGAGACAATGAGCATGAAGCCACAAGGCCAATATGACTAGGATGGCCGAGGGAACAATAGTCAGCATGGCACCGCTGGGCATTGGAAGCAATGGCAGCAACAGCCCACCTCTGAACTTCTTGCTGTGTGAGAAAAATAGTTCCTGTTTGTTTAAGCCACTGAGGCTGGGTTTTCTGCTCCTTGCAGCCAAATGTACTCCCAATGGATACAGTGACCTGGTGAAGGGCAGGATGTCTTCTCCCATTGCTCACAAGTGCCTGAAATAGCTCACCTTTCATACCCTCTACTTGTAAACGTGTATTTACATCTGCTGTGACTTCCTGAGCTTGTCGGGAGAAAATTACTATAGAAATTGTAAATGTTTATACGTGTATCCACATCAACCCTGCAAGTGTTTATGAGCAGCTAGTAGATGGTGATAATGGACTGGTTCTGGGGCGCAAAGATGAATTCCCAGCACTGTCCCCAGGGAGCGAACAGCTTAGTAGAGGGCATGAGCTTGCAAATAGAGTTTTGCAGTTCTGTGCAAGAGAGGAGTTTGCCTTGGACAGAGGGGTAATAGAGGAGAAGAAACAATGAGCTCTGTCTGGTTCAGGGAAGGAGGGAGGCAGTAATACCTGGGCTGGGCTTCCATGGAGGAGCTGGAGTTTGCCCTGTCACAAACTGGGGAAGGGACCCCATTTCAGGGAAGAGAATGTCTGACGGACGGAGCTTGGTCATCCAGGAGCCTCAAACTCCTCATGTCTGAAACCACACTCGTGGTCTTCCTCCCAAACCTACCCCGTTCTGGGTGTCGCGCATCTGCCCACCTGTCCAGCTGGACCACTCAGCGGCTTCCTCAGCTGCCCTTCCCTCATCACCTCTCCCCCAGGTGGAGTTTGTCTCTTGGGTCTGTCTGGTCTTACCCAGGGGCCCCTGTGCCGCCTCTCTCCAGTGCTCCCACAGCAGCCTCCCAGCCGGTCACTATGCAACATGCAGCTTCTCTCTTCCAAACCTTTCTCCACAGTGTGGCAAGAGAGATTATCTCGAAATCCAAAGGTGATCTTATTAACCCCCCATTATCTGTAGTTTAGTGACTTCCCTTTGCTCTGATGATAACAACTAAGATCTTGAGCTTTGTCTGAAGGCCCTCACAGTCTCCGGCACTACTTGCTCAGGCTTCTCCCCCTGTCTCTTTACTCCAAGTATGTGGGCCTACTTTCAGATCCTTGAGCAGGTAACATTCTTTCTTGTCACAGGCCCTTTGCACATGCTATTTCCTCTTTGTAAAGAACATCACCCAGGTGAACTCCCCTTCATTTTTCAGATCTCAACTAAATTTAACCTAGATCTTGACCAGGCCATTTTCTCCTATTATAAGCTCTCATAATCCTGTGTAACTTCCTGTTGCAGCATTTATTACAGTTCTAGTGATGCCATTAAACAGCTAGACTGTGCCAAAGGGCGACAAAGGGATAGTTCACTATCTTGAATGCAGTTAAATTCCATCACGATGCTTCCACAAATTCTGCTGTTCCAGAATGTGTTGCAAACACGAAAAGGTTGAGATCTACCTTCGTCACCTGTGGAGTGAGAGGAGAGGAAGGTCAAGGTATATGAAGAACACAGGGCTTTACTGAACAGGCAGAGAAAGAGGAGCCAGCCCACAAGGGAGATGGGGAGAGAAGGGTGAGGATAAGGAAAGAGCCTGGAGAGAAGGGGTGCAGAAACCAGGCAGAGAGAGGGCATGGTCAGTAGTGTCATACTACATGAATGTCACATTCAAGGGAACATGTGACAATGGAGGTCATGAGTTACCCTAGTAACTAGTTTAGTGCACTAGGCCAAGGCGAAGCCTGATCTTGGTGGGTTGAAATACAGAAAAGCTGGGGGAATGTAGAACACACTTCCAGTGTTTTCAGAAATCTTGGCCAAGAAGAGAAGGTGAGGAGGGGAATCACATCTAGAATAGGAGAAAGAGAAGAAAGTTTCAAGATTTAGGAAAGAGAAATTGGCAATGGAGCCAGGAACTCTCTGAAATATCTTCTTAGACCTGTTGTTTGAAAAACTGAGAAGGGATTTGCCAAACAATATTTCACAAAGTTTTCAAAACTATTGACCCTTCTAAGTAAATATATAAAACAATATTAAAAACCTTCATCTCAGAGACCAAAGATGTGGATTCAAGGTTTCATCAACTAGCTATGTGATATTCACTGACTTGTCAGATCCCCAAAATATTCTTTCATCTACAAAATGAATGTAATAATTTCTGCCATGCCTCAGAGTCATTAACAGAATACCAAGAGGCGCGAATTCTATGAAATTTGTAAAATTGGAAACTCCCCCCCCTTTTTTTTTTACTATTAAGGGCCACTGGAACATAAGGAACCTTACCTCTTTTACTGTACCATATTTTAAATTAACCTGTACTTATTGGAAATACCAACTAAAAGTAATTATCTTTTAAAAGGGTGACGTTGCTGACAACTGCTCTCAGTTTTACAAACTCCCCCAAGCTTTTTTAGAGTATTTCCTTTTATCCAAGGTTTACCTCCCCATATGCTGTGGGTGCAGGGGGCAGTGGATGTGGTGTAGCAAGGGGATGATGGGCCCTCAGAGTCCCTTCCTCACTTCTTTTTTTTTTTTAATTTTTTAAATTGGAGTTCAATTTGCCAACATATAGCATATCACCCAGTGCTCATCCTGTCAAGCGCCCCCCTCCGTGCCCGTCACCCAGTCACCCCAACCCCCCGCCCACCTCCCTTTCCACTACCCCTTGTTCGTTTCTCAGAGTCAGGAGTCTCTCATGTTCTATCCAGGTCTGTCACACTGCTAAGATTCGTTTTCTTCACCTCTTGTTTCTTGACTCTTCTGTAGCCAACATGGTCCATTACCTACAAGGCGCACTCTGCTTTCAGCTTCCTTGTTGAAATCGTCATTCAGGTTCTAGTGATTACGATTTACCAAGGGCTTTCCCCAGCATTATCATAATGATCATCCAAACAACCTGAGGGTTTGATCATCATATTTGAGATGTTGACATGGAAACTCAGAAGGTAATGGGCTTGTGAGAGTTTCAGGGCTGGTAAGGAAGAATTGTGAAAGGAAATGAATCCTGTGCCACAGGACTCTGGTCTCATTGCCCAGCATGGTGCCTGGTACAGAGCACATCCGGTGAATGCACAACTACAGGAATGACTCATCACCATCTCTGGGTAGTTGTGCCAGTGCAACCTCCATCCTGATAAGAGCTACTATGTCATACTTAAAGCCCTTTAAAGTGGAATTTATCATCCCTCTGGATTACTGGTTTCTGTTAAAGGCACTGTAACTCACTGATTCTCTCAAGCCCAAATCCTGGTTCGTCCTTACCTTCC